AGAAGTTTAGAAGAAGTTTTCCAAGCTCACCGAAACCGGCGGCTTGGTTCATTAATAGTTTTCATGCTATTCTCATGAACACGTCAATAAAAAAGGGTAGTGAAAGTAAATGCAAATCTAAAGAGACAGAAAAATACATGTTTCACTTGGTATAACCACATCAAAAGAGCTTTTGGCATCCACTACAGATAAAATGACTAAAGTTTCCTTTTTCATTACCATTACATGTTCTTTAATCGGAACTTCGTCACTATATACTCTATTACCTTCTACGCATTGACTGTTACTGAGATGTTTTTGTACCACTGGTGCTTTAAAAAGTTATCAATAAAAATTCACGGATCCGAGGTGCGGCGGTCGCACTCGCAAAATCGGCCCGGTCCCACACGGCCAAAAAAGCCAAAACGCGCGCGGTCGTCAATGTGTTAAATCATTGAACGTCTTCTAAACGGAAGTCTACAATAATACAGATGGATCACTCCCACGCGCTGACCATTGCTGGACTTACTTTGTGATATCCATGTTTTTGTTTATTTACGACACAAAATCGCAGACGACAGGTGAGGCTATAGCGCTTTCAAAATTGCGTACGTGCCACGCAACCAAAAAAGCGCTGCGAAAGGAACTGATTATGATATGTTGGAGGTCATACGATTTTCGCCCATCCGATCTCTGAGACGCTCTTGGAGGCTTCGTATACATATCCACAGTAAAAGAGCAAGGGTAGCAGGAAAAAAATTATGTAGCCTCATCTGGGTTGACTCTTCACTTGCAACTGAAGGAAGTATGAGTCTTTTCTCTGAGGCCTCCGCATCCCTAGTGTTCCCTCGCACTTTGCAACTTCTGGAAGTGGCCGTGCAAAGCACTCTTTTTCAACTTCCGCGCTGCAAGTTTCCAGCAAGTGTTCCTAGTGTGAAAAACTACGGCTGCAAAGAAACGTAATCATCACAGTATGTCGTTGGTTCCACTCATTGTGTATTCTGAGAAGGAAACCTGTCCTTATACCCGATCGCAGCCCTCTTCACAAATTCAGAACGCGTGCTTGGTTCTGCCTGGAACCTCAAACATCCAATTTCGTCAAATATTTCCAATACACAAGGACAGACCTTGATTAGCTTTTGCAAGAAACATTGACGTTGAACTGGAACGACCCTTAAACCAAAAAAATTCTGCTTTAAAATCAGTTCTTGCAGAGAACAGCGTTCAAAGTACTTGTCCACATATCCCTTGACGTAAGACGTGCACTGCAGCCGAGCTTTATCATGCTATCCCATTTAAGCTGCAATAGCGTGCGCTTAATTGCTTTTATGTGCTCCGATCAAGCGTGCTAGCCTTCGAGTGACGCACTTACGCTATTTGCAAACAGAGCGATTCTAATGAAAAGCATGTAAATCACAAATTGAGTCTTTAATTAATCTCAGTAGAAAATAATCTCAGATAGATTATTCTCCAAGGCGATTTATCAGTTGCTATGTCAAGGGCAGAGTGTAGAGCCTCGTTTAGCTGTTGATGAAAAGGTGTAACAATGGGGTTATTTTGGCTGGAACGCTTAACCTAAGTCAATTCTAGTGTAGCAGCAGAAAAAGAATGCGGACGTGAAATACCAAAATGAGTTACTGTTGGGTTTAAATGGATTCCGCAAAAATGGGCTTGACTGCCTTCTGCAGAAAACAGAGGAGGTACTTCCTCTCACGAGTTACTCGAATCATCTCTCCAGCCTAGCTGCCTTCCTGGTCGTTTAATTGCATATGTCCTATCGAAAGCAAGTTTGGTCAGGCCCTCGCATTTCTACTCGTTCTACACAAGCATTTCTTCCTCTTCCTCTTCCTTCCTTTCCACTGAAGCAGGCGGTGCGAAATGGACCGACAGTGGAGAAGAAGGGAAAAAGTTCGTCGAGAACATTGGAGCTATGAACCTACTCACTTTTGTGACTTGTCAATCTTAGAACAGTGAGGCACTAAGCGCTAAGGAAAAACGATAGACGAGGAAGCACAACGAGTTAGTAGGCGCAAATTGAGATGAGAAAAATGAAATCGGTTGAAGCGATGATGGTAAGGCCTTAGCGCCCATGGCGCGAACTTTCGACTCAAAAGAATTCGATATTTGCAACCTTGGTGAACAACTATTCTACCCACCAAAGGGATTCATTCTTGGTGTGGTTTGGCAAAAAAGCTGAACGTTTTCGTGACAACCCTCTAGCTTCAATAGAATACGGTACCGGCTCGACCTTAATGGCGACTCGACGGACTCCGTTCGCATCAAAAAATAGCCGCGATATCGTAGGACACCTTTTTTGAGAGGAGAAAAAGAGTTATTGCAACGTTTAATTCATTCCATTACTTCGCTTGCGTGCAAAATTGGAAACGTGCAATGCCACAGAAAACCCTCTTTATCGACCGGTTTGGTGTTTTTCAACTAATCGTCTCACGAATGTTCACTGGACCAGGAAGTAAGCGACAGCTGCAGCGAAGCAGCAACAGTCTGCCCAAATGTTTACAATGGCCGAAATCTCAGACTGCTTGGAAAATCAGCTTCTTGTTGAACAAGTCATTTTGTAATATCAAAATCAATCACCGAGCCAAAAGCAGGAGAAAGAAAAATAAAACTAATCGTATGAAAATCAAAAGTACCAAAATCACAAAATCGCCAAAATCAAGAAATTTGTTCAAATTACATACATAATTACTCACTGCGAAAGAAATGGTTATTCATGGCATGATAGACGTTCAACCAATTGTAATCGGCATCGAGGTAGATCAGCAGGTACTGTTGCGAGTCTGTCAGACCTAACTTGCCCATCGACATCAGAATTTTCCGGAACAATCGCACATTACCAAACGTGACGTACACTTAAAGACGTAATATTCTAAGCAATTGCTCGCCGTTTTACGGTTTTAAACTACTGTACACAGGAATAATGTGCTTACATCTCGTTATGTCTTTTGTTTGTTCCACTACACTGTCGATGAGTTTCTCCGATTGCACTTCACTGAAGCGAATCACTTTCGACACATTCTGCACGGAATAGCGTATGTCATCCAATTCCATGCGTGCATTTTCAACGTCGATTGCTTGCTGAAAATCGATACTTGGACCTGTCACGGAGGGGCGCTAGACAACGGCTGGGTGCTATCAACGTCCTAAAGAAGCAGTGCATATGTACTCGAATGATACCACAAAATTTCGCAGAAAGAGGCCCTTCCTATTTTCAACAACATCCATCCATGAACCTTTTAGAATGTTCCCCACATATTTAATGGCAATATGGGCGAAAGTGGTGTAGTAGCAAGTGGCACGCTTACCACGCGAGCGGTACGGGGATCAAATTCTCAACCAAGCCTTCCATCCCTCCGGGGTCGGTTAATTGGTACCAGACTTGTCTGGGAGGATAAAAACACTGACTTGTACATCGGCTGGCCCCCGCAAGTCATTGTATAGGCCACATCGCATTCAAACGCCACTACGAATGTACAAATGGAAGTAGAATGCGTGCCGCATCCCAAAAAGGGATTGATCAACGGCAAATGCTTTATCCTTTATCCTTTTATGGGCGCAATTTCACAACAAAAGAACAACATAGACAAAACGACGCACTAACCCGGAGCGCTTGGTACAGTTCTTCGTGAGCGGGATGCTCTTCATAAATGATCGTGAACTTCTTCCAGTTATGCTCTCGACAAAGCGCAATGAACGCCTTTACGATGTCTGTCTCGGCTGGTACTGTACGAGCGAAGGTGTTGTACCTAAACAGGTGCTATCAGTGAAGACAAAATCTATAATTATGCAAAGCTGTTGTTGCAGCAATACAGTGTGAAACAAGGAAACTCCTACCCAACCTGCCAACCGCCGTCCTTGATTCCCTGTTCCCACCTTCCGCATTTTTCCTCAACTTCTCGTCAGAGTGGTGTTGAATTTCTTCGGCCTGCACTCGTTACCCACTATTTCGAACATATTTTGCCTACTTAAGCCCACTCGGGTAGTGACCCTCAAATTCCCTCTCAGGCTTACCCCTTGAAGATGCTCACAAATGGCGATATCTTCAGTAACCGGTCGTCATCTCATTCCAGCCTCCTATCTGAGGCGAGTTTGGTTCAATCATTCACAGCTCTAGTACCTTACCATAAACTAAATCAAACAACCTTTTGTTTGTTCATGTGATAAATAGAATCTTTGTCGGAACAATGCTGACAAAAACAAGACGATTTGTTATTTACATATGGCATATCTATATTTCATCAGTGCGCTCACAGCTCGTTACTAGGAAGATTCATGCCAACTCGTTAAAGCCAGCTGTCGACCGAGCCACTGAACCCCAGAACTTAAAGTCACCGTACCGTGAAATTAATTGCAACTGTCCAGCGCACGGTGCATTGCAAGTCTTCTACATCATCAGCAAGTATTTAGCAAGACAACTGCATTTCAAGTTACGCAACATTTTCTTGAGCGCACTTCTCTCTCATTCGGATGTTTGATCACTTGCAAAACAGCGGTCTAGACACTTTCAGTTGTTCTGCAACTTCTGCAACATTGTGCGCGCTCGTAAACTTTTGCAGACATCTTGCGCCGTCTGCAGACAGCAGCGACTTTGCTGAACACATGCCTCCGATGAAATTCAGTGGAAAACACGAATGGCATGCAATATCTCTTGCTTTTTCATTCACATTCTTCCCTTGACTTTTCCAGTAGGCCAAAAACCAACTGAACACATTAACTGCCAAATGCAAATATTCGAAGGCATGAATAAATCTTATGTTAAACAACGATACATAAGAAAATAAGAGCGAAGATTTCTAGTCCACCTGTACATTATTTCTCGAACCTATGATATTAAAGTTCTGATATGTTAGAAAAAGTACAACTGTTTAGTTACTACTTAAAACTCGCGTTGGCGCAGCATATAACTTGTAAAACTACTGATACTGTGATGAGTTCATGCCATTGTAATCGTGTCAGCATAATAATTTCAAAATGTTGGGAGCCACATTCAAAAAAAAAAAATCCGTTTTTTGCTGTTCCTACACCCAAAGTGGGGAACTTAATCACGGTTTCACATTTCCTGGCATGTATCCCACAAGGACAAGAAGAGCAAACAATCCTGAATAAACTTTCTATTCATTGGTCGACCCTCGTAATAAGACTTTTATCTCCCTGCCTCATTTCGCTCTCCGGCAGCGAAAGCAGCATATTGATTTGCATTTGGTCTGATGATAACCTTGCAAACTCAAAATGCGCGTGGGTAGCACGGAGACGCCAGAACTTGGCACGCGTCTCGTTGAGCTTTTTGCTTCGTCTCATGATCTGGGGCGGGGGGGGTATGGGGCGGGTGGGGGTGGGCTGGGGTTAGCGCTAACCGGTAATACTATGACAGGAGACAGAGACCGGTGTAGAAAGGAAAAGGGTGGTGGTGCTAGGTGTGTACTTGCAAGCCATGAAAAAAAATTGATAAGCATGGTAAGGAAAATTCCAAAAAATCTGAAAACAACAACCTACTTCTTCTTATCGGACACTGTCTGGTCTTTGCATTTGTAACTGATAATCGGTAAATTTTGAGCTGCCGCCATTGTCGCTTCAGTTCGACAGTTCATTTCTGGACCAATGAACACACGAGCGCCCATCTTCCAATGATCCATGAAATACTGTGTGCCTGGAAGTGAGAATGCTGCTATTCCCTTATCCTACGCTAAGGAGAATGTTTTGATTACAAAGCTTCTCAGAGAAAACAAAGAATAATGAAGAAAATGTGTATTGATAAAAATTACTATAAAATCAGGCACGAGGTAAGTATTGGCTCCAAATTTACTTGAAAATTTTCCAAGCCGAGGCTACCCTCTGCATTGTCTAGGCTATTACTTTTCTCTCCCGTTACTACTCGAAGCTACTCTCTGCATCGTCTAGGCTATAAACTATTGCCTCCCGTTACTACAAGGTATAAGACTTGTCGACGATTACGCACCACTGCTGCTTATACAACAGGGATACGATAAACACGATAAGTGGCAATGTAAGGGTTCAGTGTACAGGATTAGAACATCTAATTGGCCACAATCCCCATAAACTCCCCACGGAATACCGCAGTTCACAATTAATATAACAGAGAGCAAATTTCAAAGCAGAAGCCACAGAAAAAAGATATAACAAAACGGAAAAAAGCTCTAACTCACTCTGCCGCTCCTTCCCACATGTGTTGTCGAAAATATAATTAAGACGATGATTAGGTAAAAGATCTGGATTGGCGTTGATTTCATTCACAGCCACATGTAAAGCACCAGAGATCATTGAACCTGAAAGTGAAACTGAACGTTTACATTATCCACCAAATAAAATGAACAAGTTCAACTTGCATAAACTATGTGGATATTTACATTACCAGAATTCGAAAAAGTGAACTTACCGTCGAAATCTGTACTGAAGCAATTGAACATGGTATAGATCTGTTTAAAACGTTCATCATGAAAAGGCGACGACGACGATGAGGCATCCGAAGCCCGTGTCTAGAAAATGCTTTCTTCAAAAGAGTATTTCGAATCTTTTTATAAAATCTTATTACCCGAGCTATACTGATGGCTTTCATGAACTCTTCTGGTTGTTCATCTAGCCGCGAAACTGCCGCCAGATAGCTTATAAGTATCTCATTGTCGTTTGTTGAATTCGGATCCAGAAGCTAAATGCAAACAATTGAACATAGCAGTACAGAAAAAAGATTACGTCACAGAAAGACTCTTAGGGTGTGTGTACTACTTCTAAGCCGTACAATCAGCTTTTTCCATTACACAAGAGACGTCTTCAGAGATTACGTAGAATGTCAAATTATTGCGTTGTAAATGCTTTTGTGTCAAATTACTCCGTTGTAAACGCTTTTGTTCACGCTATCAGTTGATATTTGATATAACGTTTCCCAAAAAGCTCTCACTGAGATGAAAATCGAAAATTAAATTTGCCCATTACTACAGAGGAATAGCCAAACAAAAACAGCAATTTTCTCAAACCGAATCAATGAACCAAGAAAACACGGGCAATCACAGTAATAAGGTCTCCTACAGGGCATCAACGTCACGCGCTATTCGCAACGTACACGTTCCTCTTCAGCCACCTCATGACTTTATTTCGCTGGTGGAATTGCACGCCACTCTAGCCGCCAAATCTAATAAGCACGGAAAAGGATCCCATAAACTCGTAAATAGACTCAGTAGATTTCGAGTCATAAGTCATTTTTTGCTTCAAAATACATAAAAAAAGAACACTCACCGCTCCTACATTTGGCTGTGACACCTCACGTGACTCCGAGATCTGGCATTGGGACCATCGAAACAACAACAATATTAACAACGTGGGGTCAACAAAAAACCCGTGACGCATATTCAGCTTAAGTCATGCGTTCGAAGACACCACATTCACTCTGAAAAAATTTCAACATGATAACAGTTCAACAGTCTGTCTAAGGTGTGTTATTGCGAAGATTCTTGCTTGACAACGCGGAAACATATACGATATAAATGTAATAACGAGCAACATTTGCAAGGAAAACATAAACAGAGCGATCATATCAGTCGTTGTTGCACAAGCAGCAATCATTCCGGGAAGGCTGTCTGAGTCAGCAGAAAAACATGTGTGCAGATTGCTTCCTGCAAACGCAGTCAGCGGGTTGGAATGAGAAATGTGCCGACTGCAGCAACGGGCGTGCGGCGGCCGGCCTCAGTCGCCGGGCGCAAAGTACATAACGGCGAAAAACATGAAAACAACGGAAAAGCTCGCTGCAGTCGTCGTTGTCGTTGAGACCAAGAATAAATTGCCAGCCAACGACCACGCAAAACAAGGGTAGTGTGTTAGGTCGTTCGCACTTCACAGAAAATGGAATGAATACCAATTCAGCAGCCACAGACAACGAAATTCTGGAGCTCCAGATCGCCACAGCCAATTACCAAATCGAAACGCGCAATGGGGAAACACCAAATGTTTCACCTTAAAAACAACCCCAGATTAAATTGGTGGGGTAACAGCGGCCGAGAATGGAATTGTGGGGGACAAGTTGAATATCATGAAAAGAAGCCAAAGCAAAACTGTAGATTAAGGACCTGACAGGATCGCCTCTCTTTCCCAGTTGAAATGAGAGGCGTGTGGGACGAGTTGTGTGAATTTGCTCCACGACTCCACTAACCCGTGCGTATTTGAACGTCGTAATCGACATGTATGAATGGCATGGGGTGTGCGCGCGTGGTATCTCGTCCACAAGCTCACACCAGCCGTCATTTTATAAGGCCTTAGCGTCATCGTCACGCACCTTCGAGTCGCGACAGCGGCACAATCGTCATACTCGCAGGCTGCTCTATCCACAGAATAGATTGTGTAACACCTCATCAGAGGTAGCTCTTGCTTTAAAAGGATTAGAAGGAGCACGGGATGTCCACAAGAAGTTTTCAAAAAGGTTTCTGATCTTGTATCTTACTGGTTAAATCGTTAGGCCATAGAAGATGCACCTGCGCATGTGAATCCTCTTTTTTATTAAACCTCCAAAAAAATTAATCTATCATAACTGATGGCATATATTTCCAGATCTATATCTGCATTCGGAACAACTTCTCGAGCCTTTAACAAGCAATAAACCAAGCAAAAATAGGTTCTACTCGTGAAGGAAAACACTCTCAACCGTTAGCCCGGCGTGGGAAGGGAATAAGGACTTCGAGGGCGTGGGGCAGTAGATAAAAGCGACTTTTAACTTATCGTAGCTCTCTCCCTGCGAGTAGCCCTGGTCGATTGAGACCTTGCGCGTAACTGCAGCCAAAAAAGTTTCACAAAGCCGCTTCCTGTCCGAAGCACCAACACCCGGGTTACGCGGTCCCAAGGTTGAAAGAGAGCATACATGCCATCTAAGAAATTCTCTGAACAAACTTTAGTGATAACTCAGCCTATAACTAAAATTTACAATAGCATCAATCTCGATTAGAGGCCTAATGTTTAAGCGGTTCTCCAACAGCTAATATGATGAATTACGGGCTGAAATATGTTAGCTAAAGTAGATACTGCTCAGATTCACTGAGTCGCACACTTATGCGGTTTGATTGGAAAATAGTGAAAAAATTTAATCTGAAGAACATCGACATACAGTAAACCATTAATGTGAAAACTGGGAATTTTACCGTTTCCTCTATTGGGCCGAAATAATGGTATCAAGCTTTGAGTTTTCGAAACTGGTTCGCGAATACAGATTCTATGAGTACCTTAATTTTTTCATAAACGCACACACACATAAAAACTGTATAGATTGATATATTTTCTATCTGTCAAAACAAGGTTTTTCACCTAAAATTTTTTCAGAGAAAAAAAAAAACTAAACATAAGGACGGTACCGAGGTTCTATGAAGAGAGAAGTTGGGACTGAAACGTATCTTTTCTGCAAATTGAAAGTTAAGGTTACAACAGCAATATTAGCGGCAAGCACAGCATGAGTGTGACAGGAGAGGAACGAAAGTGCGCGCAGCATAACCACGAAAAGTGCGATGGATTAGGAATGATGGTAGGGGGCGTGGCATAGATTATCCATTGTCAGAAGCACAACAGTGTCTAATGTAGTAATTTCAGATATTACTGAGAATCTTACGTAGGTTTGTTTACGAGTCAAGAGAAATTCAGCCCTCTGCAATGAAGTCTATATCATTGAATTTCTTGAGAGGTTGACTTTGCCTGTTAACAGGATCCACAGAGCAATTTTCTGGAAAATGCTAAGTAACACTCCTGGAATTAATGCTTAATACATCGCAAAAGACACGTCTAAAATGCAAAAACGCGACTAGTGGCGCAGTGATAACGTCTTTGTAGGAATGAAGTTGAGAGCTAAAAGCACTAATAAATCCGCTCTTCCATTCTTACATCGGTTTTATGCGATTTCGGAAAAGGCGCCTAAATTCCTATTCGAATGCTTACATTTTAATTTTACATCATGGAAAAGAAAAGTAATCTAAATGGCAATCGAGGAATCGATCGCGCACGCATAGCACCAATCAGAAATTGATAGATGTTTGCCGAAGGAAATACACTGCCGGGGTCTTTTCAGTGAGGGGAAGGGGCATGATAAACAGGTGGTTCTCCCTGCACGAATTCCAATTTTGCATAGAAAATCCCAGAATGCGTCAATTATAACGCCTCCGCTCTTATATCTATCCCAGAGCTTCTCGCTGCAAAACTGGAATTACTGCAAGTGGCACGAATCGTCGCACCACGTGCTTTCATGGAACCTACACCCACCTGCTGTTTTCCACCGGACAATGGCTCAGGTTCAGAAATCTGATGAAAAACAAATACCTATGGAGGTGAGTGAGTCTAGCAAAACCATCGAGCTATGGATGGCCAATGAAAGGAATGGATCAAAAGATAGAAAGTAAAAGGACCTACTGATACAGTCACACAACATAAGGCTAATATGTGTGAATCGTTAGAGCTGACTTGGCAATCCTGTTTTGTAGATATTATTGTTTGAGGAGGGTTAACACATCGAGGACACCATGACGCCCATGCGCGCCAGAGTTTTGCATGGATCAGGGCCGTTTTATTCGGTTTATTTAGCATTTTTCATATTCCAGGACCTTGGAATTACTTTCCGGAGAACAGTTGTGGAACTGCTGGAGTAATGACCATTTTATAAATAATAAATCAAATTGCAGATGCGCTCACAGGGTTGTCTTTAATGGCTTAAGCACTGACGGCGATAAGTTTCAAGGCTGGCAGTCAGAGTTGCGATCGACGTCGCACGATTCGCGCCAAATCGCAAAGCGAGTGCCGCCATTTTCGAGCATTTGAAAATACTAAATATGGAACAATATAGGGTCAATGGAACAGTGTCTTTTCATCACTATCGCAGGCAGAAATGGCATCGGGATTGGAGAGCACCTCGCAGTATTGATCGGGGCATTTGCGATTTCTGTGGTTTGCCGCGCGATTCGCGCGACGAATTGCGGACTCTGACATCAGCCTAACCGCCACATGCATGCATGAAGAATAACGAAGTGACAGTATAACAGCCTAAATTATTGCTATTTATTTGATAGCCAAAGACACATCCCAATGCTTGCAGGTGCAAAGTGAGTGAGCTGCTCCTCCCACAATAGTAGATGCTATTCTGGTAATCGAGGATAAGTCACGACTGGAGAAGAAAACAGTGCTTTCGCAACAAGCTGGGCCTTCGTAAGTCGCTTAAAGCAACAGTCCAAGAACGAATTCGCGGGCAAAAACCACCGATAATGAAGTTGTGGGTGCAAAGTTGACCAATAATGAAAGAAAAGTTTCAAAAAAGACGTTGAACAGGTACTAGGACAGGGGTCCCCGGTGCTAACTTAGTTGGGGGGGGGGCACGCGGCGGCGCGGCAGTCTGCTCACCTGGGCTCTCTCGAGCGAGACAGTGTAAACTCGAACATTCCAGCTTTTCACGCATGTCAAGTGACTGCCCCCCCCCCACCCCCCTAGACTGCCTACACTCCCCCTGGCCCACGGATTTCCGAACATGCCAGGCGAGCAGACTGCCGCGCCGCCGCGTGCCCCCCCAACTAAGTTAGCACCGGGCTCCCCTCGCCACTTAGCAATGGAGGAAGACGCTCGTTGGACGAGTTGTATGAACATGCCCGCAGTAAATGCGCCCCAATTGCAATAGCTGGCAATTGCTGCAAGTGCAATTGGGGCGCAATAATGGGATCGTTTCATGTTTTGAAAGTAGAAAGTAGAAGAAAAAAGGGCGCAATGTGGCTCGGGGGGGGGGCAGTCGCCGCGCGCGGCGTTGCGGCAACAGGAAATTCGTGAGCCAGGGGGAGTGTAGCCAATTCAGGGGGGTTGGGGGTGAGGGCAGTCACATGACATGCGTGAGAAGCTGGAATGTTCCGTGAGAAGCTGGAATGTTCGAATTTCCTGTTGCCGCACGGCCGCGCGCGGCGACTGGCCCCCCTCGAGTCACATAGCGCCGGAAAAAATGTAGAAATTCAGCGTTGTCGGCATCACTACATCGATTGCTTTAAAGGATCGACCTCAAATAGTCCCGGCGGTCCCGCAACGACCGCCAATCAACTACGCGCTCTTCACAGCAGCAAGGGGGCGGCTCCACCGAGGCTCGGTGGACCCGCCCTTTTCGAAGAAGTTCGAGCCCTTCCTACGCATTTCAAAGGTAAGTTTTCAATTCAGTGACAGTTCCTATGAACTTTACTTGGGCTGGGGCATGCTTCCACACCTCAGGATTGAATTGGTTGAAACCCTCCTTGGACTGTTGCTTTAACTTAGCTCAAATAGGCATTCAATATCGTAGTTTTCAAAGGAGTATAACTGTGCAGCGCATCTAAAAAAGAACTGAACATTCACTTTCTTATTCTTGACCTTAAAAC